GCATTTTCATCAGTTCCACACAATTTCCATCGTTTCCGTAATATCAAAGATAGTTGAACACTTTATAGTGAGGAATTTTTGGATATTTGGAATACTTTTCCATCTTTAAAATGCTGAATATTTAAATTTCTCACAGAAATTGTTATTTTTAGTATCTTTCCATGTTCACTTGAGATATAAAAACATTAGTATATTTTGCTAACACAGATAATAATTTCCAAATGCACGTGATAATTCTTGTGATACATAGTGTCTTGTAAAACAAAGAATTGTAACAAGTAACAGCATGTGCCAAAACATATTGTGAATTGAATTTCGAGTGTCAACACTTTTTGATTAAATTATTTTATTTCAAAGAATATTTTGATTTGATGATATTTGTTTTGCAAAGACGTAAAATAGGTAAAAAATAATTGTATCAGAAATAAAAAAATGGAAGTATATATTTCTATATTAGTACAAGATCTATGCAAATAAATTTCAACAACACGAGTGCCCGAAAACAAATGCTAGCCTTTGTATGTACGTAAATTTACTTGATTTATTAGAATGTAACGTACAAAAAGCTATATTATTAGAAACATTTCTGAAAATTTCAGCTGTTTGGCCTTCGACGTTTCCTGAAAAATTAAACTTCCGAGCATGGACATTTTTAATTATTAAATTTTAATGGTCATCGATTCATGGTTTTATACTAATGATCGTCATCGAGAGAGATTTTAAACATTCGAAGAATTACTTACTAGCTTGGTGCTAAAAGCAAATTATGTCGCAGCAGCGGTATCATAATATGGTTTCAGCCAATAACAACATAATATCCGCAACCGCAGAATGACCGAAAGCGCTATAACAGAGAAACACTGTATTTTAATTAAACATTCATGGAATTTCTATCGAGATAAATTCGCTGTCGTAAGTGTCAATTCTATTGCCAAACCAGGAAAGTAACTTTTATTATTTTCTGCAAGCTCTGCTAGAATCCAATTTCTGAGCAGTATTAACGGAAGTATGTCGGGTTTCTAGTGCTGCGATGGTGTAATCGCATTTGTTATTAATTCTATAATTCTTTCACGGCATATTTTTGAAGTTATCAAATAAAAGTATGTTTCGTATTACACGGATCATTCACTTTTTATTTTCCTAGCATACTTAAAAGTTATGTTGTAACTTTTCGTAAAAAAGAAATGAATGTACTAATTTTTGTGATATTTAAAATAAAGTTTCGTGAATTTCTTTCCACGAGAGTGATCTGAAGAACTTAAATACAGAGCTATCTAGAATATTTCACGAGAAAATAATGAACTATTCAAATAAAAAATTAAGATGCGTATTATGCTATTATTTTATGTCTACTTTTGTTTTGGATGTTAAAGAGAAACTCATGAGCTGCGATCCAAATTTGTAGTAGTTATAAAGCTGCATAGTCTGTCTTTTATTTTCAGTTAAAATAAACATTGCTTTTCTGATTGGACATAGGCTATCACGTATTTTGTTTAATTTTTCGCTTTCGCGTTTCATTTAAGATACCTTTAAACTAAGAAACAAGATGTTATGTAGGGTATTTCATGTGAGACGCATCCTGTCTTTTACAGTTATATGTAATTTAGGAAAATGAACATGAGTAGGAAAACAAGAATGAAAACAGCTGAAATAATTGTTTGAAACTGCCGTTAATTTTGTAAGGTTTTTCTCCCTCTTTACCCCGGGGCTTCGTGGTGTAACTGAAAAGCATGTTCGACTAGTAATCGGAAGGTCCGGAATTCTAGGCCTGGTGAGATGTTTTACGTTTCCTGCTCCAAAATAAAATGTCTAATAGTCTGTATAAGTGGCGCCCGAACTAAAAGGTTTTGGACGCTGATTCCTTACGAACGGGTTGACGATTTTGTCCCGGCTATCTCAATTGCATTTTAAGTGGGGGAGAATGTAATGCATTTCTCCCCTCTTACTATGTGCCTTCGTGGTGCAGCTAGAAAGCACATCCGGCTAACAATCGGAAGGCTCGCAATTTGAATTCCGGCGAGGGCGCTGCGCATTTTTCACGTCCTCTGCTCCAACATATTGCTTATTTTTGACATCTCCTGCTTCTAGCTAATTTGTTTCCATAGTTGGGGGACGCTATCTTTCTCAGTCTGCATTGAAAAACTACGAACTCTGACGAGATCTATATATCGTATACCTTTACATATGTAATGCATACATCTTGACAAGGTTCGCGTATTGTTTTCATAAAACTAAACCAGTAAGAAAAGGTTTGCTTCAGTTTAAAGTAAAACTGTATGTTTAAAAAAGTAACTTAAGATAAACCGTGGCTATATACCGATACATCAAAACCTCGGAATACAAACTGGTCGTATCGAGTGGTCATGTGTTGCATGAATAGAGATGCTACCAAAAGATAGGCTTTATAATAGATATTTCGTAGTTAATGGAAATGGATGGCAAATCAATTGGAAGACATTTTCTATGAGCCATCCTGTATAAGACAATTTTTTTTTCGATAGTCTAAGAGCCAAAGGAGTATTAAAAAGAAAATTGTCGAATCAGTCTTTTATTTAAGCTTGCAATTCCATTTTGTCTTTTGGAACATCTAAATAGCACGTCACAATTTATCACAATTAAATGAACATGAAAACTTATTAAAGTACTACACATATCTGCATCTTTTTTTTAAAGAGGATGGATATCCGCATTGCAAGTTTTAAGAAAGAAATATGTAAATTTTTAAAAAATTTTGAATCATATCAGTGAGTTTGAAAGAAAAATGACTTCCGTTACATTTGGACAAACATATAATTGCTTCTTATTACATGCTTTTCATGTATACGAAAAACATTTAATAAGAGCTATAAGCACATAATATCAAAATGTTATTTCACTCGCCCTTTTTATTGGAATATACATAACACAGTCTTTTAAGAATAAACCCAACATTACATTTACAGCTTAAAATGTAATATATTATATTTTAGGCTGGCCTCCGTAGAGATTTCCCTTTGAGGAAATTCGCGATGTGAAAGTGCAACAGATCTCATATTGAAACATTTTAAACACAGCTTTTTTTCCTACCTTTCAAGAGCTTTAAAGATATGTATATTATTCATATGAGTTCATACTCGTTATTCATATGAGTTATTAAAATTTCTTTTAACTCATTGTGGTTTGTTTGTTAACAACTTCTTTATTTAGGGTTTTCAATCATAGGCAGTTATCCTAATAGGTTTTATTGCCTGTTGTGAGTACTTTAGCAGAAGTTTTCCGGTTTGAACAAAAAATGTCCCGGTTTAAGCAAAAAATACTATTGTAAAGCCTATGTGTAAAAATATCCGTTAACTATTTTCCCAATTGCCTTAGAGAGTTTATTGCACTTCCCTTTTCTGAGTGCCATTATTCTTATATTCTATTCGCTATTATTGAAAGTATGAAAGGCTTCATATTTTAAGTTTAGCGACCTGTGTTTAATACTAAGAAAATAAAAAGAAAAATACTTTGCAAGAAATATTGGCTTCCGCACATGAATAGCTCTTATTAGAGTTACTGAATTTCAGTTCTTCTTGTTTCCACTTTTAGCACAGAATAACTTTTTCATGCTTAAACTCATTTTACTATCGGTTGAAAATTCTTCATATATATTGGAACGTTTTTCCTGCCGTAACAAAATGTAGAATGTTAGAAATTATTTTGATTAATTATACTATTGATATAAAACGCCATTTATGTTATTAAGAATTGTGTACATTACTTTTAATTTTGTAATTCTGATAAGCAAATTTAAAAGATAAATTGAAGATAAAGGATTTGATAATTATAAAATACATAACAGTCAAACTTATAAAAAAAAGCAAAGATGAATTTATAATTTAGGCAAAATTCGACCTTAGACTGATGTTGGTTGAATAAAAGCACTGATTGAGAAGGAAGGACCAGAGATCGATTCTGTTGAAATGCGTAGTTTGCTTTTAAAGCGTAACGAGCTTCGAGTGCCTAACTGTTTTGCTGTTTTTTTCTTTTTAAGAAAACGTTTCTTGAGATAAATATTGTTAAATTAATTGCTTTACTGCAAAATCCTTGCGCAAGCGATCTAGTAAAATGAATGTATAACTACTTATAACTACTTAAGACTTTTTTCAATAGAATAAATGCACAAATCTCATGTAATGTTAATTTACGTTGAAATAATATCCTAGCAATCTTGTTCTTTTGCTTTTTTCTTTTCTCCCCCTCCCCCGTTTTGAACAGTATATGTTAAATATAAGACCATACATTATGTGCCTCTAACTTCCAGGGATAATTAAATTGTAAACTGATAGCATGTGGTAACTGCTCAGTTTAACAATTTTTAAATGTTAAACTGAAATGTGCATACTGAGACTAGACTAGTTTCTTTTTAATCTTGTAACTATTCAATTTTTAAATCCTTTTTGAATTTTTTTTAAATTTTTAATCGAAAAACTCTTCGAAGTCTTAGACGTTTAGAAGTTTTAATCGAAAAACTCGTCGAACTGTAAATACTTTTCCTCTCTTTAATTGTCAAATTTGATTTATTCAGAATGGCATCAGAAAATTCAGGTTACCTTAAATATGTATGAAGCACTGTTAATAATAAATATTTTCCGGGAGTACGTGTTGATAATGCATCGTAAAATGAACTCTATCGCGTCGCTGATAAGTAATGTACGAGCGCAATAGGACATCCAGCTGTGTGCGAATGATGGTTACATATATGTATTTTTTAATTCGAAATCAATTTCGTTTATGGCTGACTACCCTACTTCATAACCTGTCTTGAAAGCACCTGCCATATCTTATTGCTTGTTCAAAAAAGATTTCCGGATTCTGCGAAAAAAGGTACAGGATACCAAAATTATGAGAAAAGAAATCTGTAATCTGTTCGAGTCGTTGTATTATGCACAATGGCGGTCCGCGTTGCCAAGGCAACGCTAGTGTCTTGCAGCGTAAAGGCGAATAACACCGCCGTAACATCATTTTTGCTGTGATTAATTGCTGTGCGGGTGCCGAAGGAAAAAAAGAAATTGGTTTAAGAAAGGGAAGCACTTCCATCTTTAACAGTGTGCCTCCCATTAATGCAATAATTGGTTTCGTATTGAGTATACGTATTACCTGGAAAGCTACGCCTGTTTTCTTGCTGTTGTTTTTGCTCCATTTATTTTTGTGAAAGTGAGCGGTAAGTTTTTATGTGTTTTTCAAGAAATGTCTGATGATAAACGATGAAAAAACTCCCTCCTTTTCCCGATCGTGTTTTAAAATTATGATGCCAATTTCTAAAAAGAAACTTTTAAGCTAAGTTAATTATCCGTAATAATAAATATTGAGAAATTTAGTTCTTTATCTTTTCTTCAAAGAAAGATATAAAATAATATGAAGGTAAAGAAAGAAAATCTGAAAGGATTCAGATTTTAACGTCACACCAGATGATTTGTTAAGGTTTTTATGCTCTCACTGAGCATCGAGGTTGCCGGTCTGTTCTTGAACTTAACGTGCTAATACAATCTTTTGCTTTTTTGTGTTATTATTAGGTATCGCTTTCTTCGCTGTTACACCAATTAAAATTTAAGAGAAAATCACAAATATTTAAAGAACTGCATATCTTTAGAATTTCCGTTAGAGTGTTAGGACGAAATACATTATTTTATATTTGCTATGTTATTTTTTGAAAACTAGCTACTCGAGCGACATGCTGCCTAAAAGAATTATCATACAAAAGAAAAACGAAGAAAAAAGCATATGATGATTTTAGTTAGTCCAGCTAGAGTCATGTCTTAAAAATATTTAATCTTTCTACTTAGAAATCTCATGATTTAAATGCATTTGTTTAAAAAATCGATCAGATTAAAAAGTGGAAATAAGAACTGCGTTCATTGCTTTTCAATCATTTGGCTTGCTACTTAGTCACAGAAAGATTAAATTTGAAAATTCAGTATTTTACACTTTACTGAATGGCAACATACTGGTGCGTGGAGATAATAAGTATTCAATTTGAAGCAGTGGTAGCAAGTTACTTTCAAACAGCTAATTTGTTGCTTAAAACTGACAGATAAATATCTTATCTTACATTTTGCCGAATGACAAGAGTTTGGCGTTCTGGAGATAAAAATGTTTTATTCTGGAGAGTGTTGCCACATCTCGTTTTCAAATCGCTGAGTTTGTTGAAAAAAAAATTCTTTAAATTCGCACCAAATGTGAAATAAATCAAAAACAAATTCGAAATTCAAAATTCAGGCTTTCAGTGCGCATGTTCTTGCGTGTATTACAAATTTTTAATATGCAGTGTGTCTAGGTGCCGCAGTTTTTCTACGCTGTGAAGAACATACATACAGATTTTTCATTATTTATTTTTTTAAATAATAGATCGCAATAACGTTTGGTGGCAACAATTCGGAAAGTGATTCGGACACAAAAGTGATGCGGACGAAAAGTGAGTTTCGAGACTAATGGCAGCTCTGGTGCTAACAACAACATAAATTTACGTGACTGATATCCACCGTGTTCACAAATATCCTTTATCCCCCCCCCCGGGGGTCGACTTAGAGAACTCTGCGAAGCTACTGGCTAGGATCTGTACCTAGGCAGTCTCGGCCACGGGGGATAAAATTTATGAACTTGGTGGTTCTGAAGCCCCTGGGAAAGGTTATTTATTGGCCGGCCTCGGGGACTGGCATGTCCTGAGCGGTGTGGAGCCGTAGCCGGAGGGCTTGGTTCCCCTCGGTTTGCTGGGTAACGGCTGTGATACTTCTTTGGCAATATGAAGCAACTCCAATGATGGAACACAGAAAAAAACTTTATTTAGCACTCAAAATGGCGACATACAAACAAGAAGAGAAAACATATTCTAACATTTAAAAATAAATTACATTCTTCGTGCGAGAGTCGCACGAGGCACTCGAGTCTGGTTTCAAATATTGCCATTCACAAATACCTTAATGTTCATCTATTTAAATTATTTAAACTACAAGATTTTAATATTATTTAAAGCTGTTACAACCTCTACCCCAACGCAGAGACTTTTGCCGAAGGGAAAAGTTCTGTAAAATTCGAAAGTTTATAAGCTCGGCTTGCTAAATTGCTTAAAGAGAAAAGATCTCTCGTAAGTTTCCAAATTTTCAGGCCGAAAATTTTAAGTTTTAAACAAGTATTTTTACACCACATTTAAATAGGAAGAAAATGGACCAGTGTTCAAATTAGTCTTACTTTTTTTTCTTGACGGCGCCTAGAGCACTTCCATGGTGGACCAGTTCCTCGGCTATAATCACAGCAAAGCCTTTCCTCAGTTCATCTGTGCCTTTCGGATAATATTCATTTGTCATTTGCTTTCGACAATTGTTTTCTTCGTCTATTAGTAGCGGCTTTGATATTAAATCAAAAGCCGAAAGATGATGATAACGCTGCATTGGCAAAATGATTCTCAATATTAATTTCTTTATCGTTTTTAAATTTTCGTGAACATCTTCCTCTTTAATTCTGGTGATTTAACTTCTTCTTCCAATACATCTCTGGATGCTTTATTTTCTTCTTTCATCGGTTCCAAGATCTGCTCTTCAATTATTTTCTTTTCCTTTGAGCTAGTAGAAATGGCATTAAAATGGTATCACTAAGTTACGTTCAAGTGATAACTAATAAAATAAGGCAGTTCAGTGTTAACAGGAAGTAATAACCTGATATCACTAATATTACGTTCAGTGATGAACAAATTAAATAAGACAATTCAATATCAACAGGAAGTTACGTTCAGTGATGAACTAATAAAATAGGCAATTCAATATCAACAGGAAGTTATATAATCTGGTATCACTAATATATATTTAGTGATGAACTAATAAATAAGACATTCAATATCAACAGGAAGTTAGTTCAGTGATGAACTAATAAAATAAGGCAATTCAATATCAACAGGCAATAATTATACAGAAAGCAATACTGTATCGCTAATATTGCGTTCAGTGATGAATAATAAAATAAAGCAATTCAATATTAACAGTAAGTAATAATCTGGTATCACTAATATTATGTTCAGTGATGAACTAATGAAATAAAAATACGCACGATTATTCGATCTCGGTCGGTGCCTCCAAAATAATTAAGACTGTGATACTTCTTTGGCAATATGAAGCAACTCCAATGATGGAACACAGAAAAAAACTTTATTTAGCACTCAAAATGGCGACATACAAACAAGAAGAGAAAACATATTCTAACATTTAAAAATAAATTACATTCTTCGTGCGAGAGTCGCACGAGGCACTCGAGTCTGGTTTCAAATATTGCCATTCACAAATACCTTAATGTTCATCTATTTAAATTATTTAAACTACAAGATTTTAATATTATTTAAAGCTGTTAATACGGCCCACTGCGACGGACTCGCCCATGCGACTGGTAGGAGCATTAGACGACCGGTGCTGCCTGGTGAATTCCAGGTGGTGCGCTGCTTCCCTGGAAGGGTAATAGTGGAGGTTGAACCTCCACGAAGTGCCCGAAGGGGGCGTAGACCTGTAGTTTGATTTATTTCAAGAGGCAGGGAAGCCTGAAAAAAAAAAAAAAAAAAAAAAAAAAAAAAAAAAAAAAACCTTTATCCAGTCTCAATTTTTGCAACTACACTATTGCGAAATCTACGTTCCCTGTACTTATATTTAAAAAAATTTTATACTAATTATAGGAAAAAATTTATTCCTATATGAAAAAAAAAATGACGGAGATATTTAATTTCTTACTTAATATTTAATATTTAGGACACAATGCATATTGTTGAAAGCATTTGATTGCTTTCCAGACCGTTTGCGTTCTTTCGCAGTTGAATTTAAATTTTGTTTCTAATTTATAAATTCATACTGTTACTCGCTAAACATAAGGGTACTTAATGATAATACAAATATTGTAGCTACAGTAGGCGCTGCTTAATGTGATTACGTTTATGTAGGATTATTTGGATAACATTATTAAGCAATGAGAAATAATATGTTTCAGAATATCAGTAGAATGTAACTGATTTAACAGAGATATAACTAATATTCGTAGGATATTCCTGATCTCAGCATTTATAAGAAATTCGTCAATTTCATCATTTTATTCTTCAGGAATTTATTAAATGATTTTCTTGAATTTGTTTCAGAAAGCGTCTAGCATGTATTTTGTGTCACAGTCCTTTAGAGAGGTTCGTGGATTGAGGTAAGAAGAAAGAAGTCCTTTCTTACTTCCATCGGTTTGTGGTAGAAAAAGAGGGTTGGGAGACGACCGGGTTTTCTCCCACAAACTTGGAACGGAGTTGTACTGTTAGTGCGGCGGGACTATACCTGTACGAAATTTAATCCAATGATGAAATTCTGGTGTCCCGCCCATTTCAACCTGTAGCTGTTATTGAAGCTACAACTTAAATTTTTCCCGACTTTTTGGGAAATATGTTTGGGATATTTTTCAAATACTTTCGCGCGAAAAAGCAAAGGCATTTAGAATCCCACTTCATTATTCGTTAATTCTGATAAATCTAGTCGATCTTCGTAAAACCTGAGAAACGGACTCCTTTGCACATAGTAGTCTTAAATCAAAACCAAGCTGCTTTGCGGCTTATTGCTGCTGTTTCATAATTTCTATGCTCTATTTTAGTAGGCTTCAAACTAGGGGTCGCAAAAAATTTTTTGGAGCTCGCAAGGTTACTGAAAAATTGTGTAATAGGCGTCCAAACATATTTTAAAGTACATAGTCCTGAGGCTCTGGATCGCAATACGGCCGGAGCACATAAAATGAGGTTGCGATTTTAAAACGTTTGGGAACAACTGCTCTATTTCGACTTTAGATTATTTAGCGATCTTGTCTTTTATTTGGTGGCATTACTTGAGTTTAAAAAATTAATTCTGCGGTATTTTGATAAAATTAACCGAATTGTTGCTCACAATAAGCGGTGTATTTTCTATGTTTTCGTTTACAAACGAGTGAAACTTCGGCAGTTCAATAACAATATCGGAATGATTTAAAAGCACCTCTTAACTTTAGCCCATTTGCTTCTCTTTCATTTTCTTTAGCGACTGCACACTCTTATTCAGTTCATTTTCTATTAGCGATGTTAATAGAAAATGAACTGAATAAGGTATTTGCATTTATTTGCAAAGGTACTCTATAGCAAAACACTTGGCCTTGGTCCGAATGATAGCATTAACTGCGATCACATTAAGC